GAATTGTCTTTTCCACTTGATTAATTCAAGAAGGAAAGTCTCAGGATGGGTCAAACTGTATTTCTGGATGCAGATCAATGAAATGACAGTTTCTGACCATATGATCCTAAGGTCATTGATTTGACATCAGGTCAAGTTCACTACACAAGTGAATGTTTTGCTGTAAAACTGCTATGAAATAACTTGTTTACTTCCTTTCTCAGTTCAGTACTCAGTTTAATCATGCATAAGAGAAAGTAGATGTAAAAACTGGTAATCAGAGGTTTCAACTGTTGTTTGTACAAGTTCTAACAAAAATGTTTTTGGATGAGTAAAAACTGCTTAGAAGTTTTGATTATCTTGCTGTTATATTGAGTATTTACCAAAGCAGAGTAAATTAGCCATTCATTTTTAATAATGTTATTAAAGTGCAAATGAAACAGTAACCTGAGACAAAGGTCAACCCTTTCTGTTTTGATTGGGTCGACCATCAAAATTGTAATGCCCTCTAAGTCAAAGTTATTCTGACGTTTAGTTTAGAGCAGTCTTGGGGGAAGGTTTTGAAGAAGAAAGGTCAAGAAATCATAAATGTATGCCAGAAGATGTTCATGCAGAAAAGAGACAAGTGTTCCAGAGATTCGTCTCGTGTTTCAAGGACGCATCAAAAGGTTCCTTGTCACCAGAAGGAGAAAACGCAGCCCTCCGGGAGCCCATCAACTGACCCCATTGGGAGCCAGATAACCATCGACTCTAGATTTCAGATGATGTCCAGTATCGAGGGATATCCCACCTTTGACGCTTAACTCATCTCAAGAGAGTCCCTGGTAACCCTCGGACTGTTGAACTAGAAATTCAAATCGGTAGGAAAAGTTGTTCCTTCTCTCTGCTGGTGTCTGATGCCCAAGATAAGAAGTTGTCCAGTCTAAACAAAATTCATCATTATTAATTAGAATTAAGTTTTTCTAAATTGACAAATCACATCTAGTCAAAACACTTCATTTAGTTAACTTTATAGATGATAATTTATTCTGCTTTTGAACCTCATAATTCACCATAGTTTAGAAGATAATTTCATAACCTCTTCTTGTGTTGTCAAATTAAAGCCATTATTCATTATTCAGCTGTACTCATCATTTTGAGCACCTATATTTACCAAAATCGATAATAAACCTCACAAAATTGTCCTTTGAATCAAAGCGTTTTTATTATAGATGACATTTGAATTTAATACAAAAAGAACTCACTAGAGCACGAAAACTTGAGTCTAATTTAATAATTTTCTTGCTTAAGAACCGGAAAGCAAGTGATGCCCCTTTCAGAATAAAATTACTAATAAAAATTCAACAATCTGAGGACCCTTTCCTCTACACTGGTAAGAGATGCTCCCTAATTACCGTTCTTTTATAAATGTATACCAAATAACAGCAACAGCACATCTAACAACAGGGTAGTCAGAGAAATATCAGCAACACTTTGGGGTCATCTACTCATTATTGCCATAAACTAAAAGAGAGTTTTGATTAAAAAAAAAAAGAAGAAACAACGGTTTGGGTGAATATCCAGTATAGTTGACTTAGGGTAGTATCAGAGTTCTTATGAGTTTTAGCATGTTCTGGGGCTCTAGGGCATGGCTCGGCTCGAAAAGGAAGGGAAGGCTTTCCCTCAACAGCTCACAGGAGCTTCAAGGACTCACAACTCCCTATCTCAGCTCATCGGAGTACGGAATTGCAGCACTAGTTGGACTTCCGACCCCTTGGGTACTAAAGATCAACTATTAAGAACCACTCTCGAGCAATGCATGGACTCTTACTTGCTGATTCAACTATGTAACCAAATGTAATCATTGTATTGGATTGTGCATAATGCTGTTCACCCTGCAAATCATTAATTAAAGCAAAGCGTAAAACATAAAATTCTAGACTATCATTTCACCACTTCGTGTTCATGGATTTAAGAAGCTTGGTTCAACTCTAACAAAGTCGGGAGGTTTTAAACGGGGTTCTCAGCTGTGAGTATTAAAGACAACATCCTAGAATACTATTTCTGGATTCTAAAATTAACCAGATCAGTAAGAATTGCCATTCTATAACGAAGGTGAACAACCATTAATGTGAGTTTCCCTGTGGATGACAATCTAACTCTGGCTGCTAGGTTGGGTGAGCCACAAGGTGAGATAAGGGTGTGGATCACAGATGGAGGTCGTTAACAAATCTGGGTGTCACCTTCAGCACAGCTTAAGCAGAATTAACCTAAAGATTACTATGGGTAATATTCAAGTGTTTAAACTTAGTTTGTTATACCCCTTAGAGGAGAGGCTGCAGTGGGGTTTAGCCATAACTCAGGTGGTAGCTCCACTGGGTAGATTGATCCTGTGAATAAAATGATGTTTAAAGCAAGGTTTAAAGTTTATTACGTTAAAGAAAGCAAAGAATTTCGCTTTCCCTCTAAACTTTGAGGGAAGGGGAGTTTTCTCATCAAAATTAATTCATGCAACTTAGTTAACGCCCATTTTGTTGGTCAGAGTTGCGTTGATTGGATACAATTTGCATAGGCACCCTCCCCTCTTCTAGAATCAGGTAAAGCCGACACAGAAGGGAGATCATTGAGTCATTGTCTTCTTCACGCCTTTTTCGAACTGCTGTGAGCCAGCCTCCGGTCCCTCAATCTCGGACGGAGCCAGCTGGCTGAGATGTGGAGAAGTCCATATGAAACTATCTCAAAGGACCTGGAACGATGGTGCTGTCTGGCCGGATGAAACTTAGTTCTGGAGGGAGTTTACAACTTCCTGGGACAACAAGCACCGGCTCCTTTCACCTTCTAACCATTGTGGATAATGAAGACTACTTCGGAAAGGAAGAACCCATCTTTCTTCTAATGAAGGACAACTCTCAGTGCCAACTGGTTCTTTTCTGTGAATTTATATTTAGCACTTGCCATAATTTCATATTGTTGTTATTATTCACACTTACAATAAATGTTACAGAATTGTGTCTTTAACCAACTGGGTTTTGTGTGTTTAATTCAAGTGAGGGGGGTCACAACATTGCCAAGAATCCACCATTATTTAAATCTATGTCATCCGCATTTATTATTTTTATTTCACACCTGTTAATAAGGTGTACAGACCTCTTTTACTTCGCATATCACTACATGGAAGAGAACTTGGAGAGGTGGAGGTATGCACTTGAAAGAAGAGGAATGAAATTCAGTCGTAGTAAAACAGAGTATGTGTGTGTGAATGAGACGAAGGCCAGTGGAAGAGTGGAGCTACAAGGAGCAGAGGTCACAAAGGTGCAGGACTTCGAGTATTTGGGGGTCCACTGTCCAGGAAAAAGGGGAGTGTGGTAAAGAAGTGAAAAAGAGAGTCCAGGAAGGATGGAATGGATGGAGAAAAGTTTCAGGGGTGATTTGTGACAAAAGGGTGTCAACAAAGGTCAAAGGAAAAGTTTACAAGCCAGTTATGAGACCAGCTATGCTGTATGGTCTGGAGACAGCAGCGTAGACGCAAAGACAGGAGAAAGAACTAGAAGTAGAAGAAATGAAGATGTTGAGGTTCTCCTTAGGAGTGACAAGGATGAATAAGATTAGGAATGAGATCATCAGAGGTACAGCACAGGTTGAACAACTGGGAGATAAAGTTAGAGAGGCCAGACTGAGACGGTTTGGACATGTCCAGAGGAGGGACAGTGGGTATATTGGTAAAAGGACATTAGAAATGCAGCTACCAGGAAAAAGACAAAGAGGAAGGCCAAAGAGGAGATATATGGATGCAGTTAGAGAGGGCACGGAGATACCTAGAGTGAGGACAGAGGATGCAGAGAACAGAGTGAGATGGAGAAGGACGACTCGCTGTGGCGACCCCTGAAGCGAAAAAAGCCGAAAGCGAAAAAAAAAGAATAATTTAAAATCTGTACTTTGTACTTCCCCAGGTTACCTTTGCCTAATCATATATGTTTGATGATCTGAAACAAAAAGTTAAATCAGAAGAAATCTGTAGAGGGGGGTGGAAAATTGAATTATTATATTAAATTGTATGACTTCACGAGCGTCACAGTATGGCCAAACTAATGGGAGCTCCGCTTCGACTTGATATTTTTTTTGTTCCTATTGTTTTTGTTTTAACCTTTTTTTTTGTGCCTACACTGCACACCCATGATACAGGTATGATCTCGACACGCGTGGTATTTTGTGTGTCGCTGCCTTGCCATCATGCTACCCTGCCATCGTGGTTCAGTTCACATCCCCCCTCAAACCTCGGGCTCAGGCTCTGGGGCCTGTCATGGTGGCCGTCTCCATGATCCTCCATCTGCCTGCACAGACTGAACACTATGGACCTGTTCGGCTCCGCGGGGAAAACCTTGGATATTCTCTGTCTGCTGGACCCGGTTCTAGAGGGCAGTCTGGGAGAGCAGCTGCTGCGGTCGTTATTATCATCAAGCTGCTAGCAGGGCCTGCTAACACTGTTAACAAGATCCTCCATCTGCCTGCACACGCAGTACGGACTCGTTCGGTTTCGCAGGGAAACCTGGGATGTTCTCTGTCTGCTGGACCCGGTTCTGGACTGCAGTCTGTGAGGGCAGCTGCTGCAGTACTTATTACCATCAAGATGCTGAATGGACCTGCTAACAAGACCTGCTAATACTGCTAACAATACCACGCCACTAACAGAACAGAACCATGCTGAAAGAACCTCACTGCTAACCAAATCAAACTGTAGATGTATTTCTTTTTCAATTTTGGCACCTTGATTTTAGTAGTATATTTTATTATGTTTTAGTATTTTTGCTGCATGCTTTGGTATTTCTTGTTGTCTTTTTTTTTTTTTGGGGGGGGGGGGGGGGGGGGTGTCGAGATGGTTCTTCTCGTCCTAAGCATTTCATTGCATTGTTGCCCTTGGGTTGATTTTGCATATGACAAAGAAACCAAACCTAAATACTTTTTCACAGCCCTGTAAGGACTCTAGGCTGCAGCACTAACAGGAATTTGGGGGGAAAAAATCCCAACAGAGGAGGAGCAGGTACCTCTGGTGCTGGTGTAGCCCAAAGAGCTGCTGACTTCATATTGAGCCTGAGGAACCCGGGGTATCAGCAGCATGTTGGATACACGGCCCAGGCTATCATCGGAGGCCAGGCTTCGTTGTTCCTCTGCCCCCACTGAGCGAACAGGAGGAGACGTACCAATGCCTGTGCTAACGTCCATGGATCCCCAGCTCTTTCTCCCACTGGTATCTCTGTCTCTACACATTCTGTAAAAAAAACAAAAAAAAAAACAAAGACAAGTCAAGTCAGATTTATTTATCGAGCACATTTAAAACAGAAACTGTTACCAAAGTGCTTATCAAAAATATCACAACATCAAATGAAAAGTAGCAAGATATATTTACAGCACATGGAATAAAAATATAAAACAGAAAACATAATTAGAAACAAAGAAATACTAAATCAGATCACGTTGTGTCAAAAGTCAAGGAAATAAAAACAAAAAGAATAAACTCAGTCAGAAACAATGAAATACTAAATCAGATCTGATGACCTTGTGTTAAATAGGAATAATAACAAAAGCATAAACAGAATCAGCATCAATGAAAAACTAGATCTAAATCCGATCACCCTGTGTTAAATGTCAATGAGTACAGGTGTGTTTTTAGGAGAGATTTAAAAGTAGAGACTGAGGTGGCCTGTCGAATGTTGATGGGCAGATTGTTCCAGAGCTTAGGGCCCACGACTGAAAATGCTCGATCTCCTCTGAGCTTCAGCTGGTTTTTGGTATGGCCAAAAGCAGCTGGTCTGATGATCTCAAAGCCCGAGAAGGAGCATAAGGATGAAGAAGGTCGAAGAGGTATGATGGTGTAAGGCCGTTGATGCACTTGAATGTCAGCAGGAGAACTTTAAAATTGATTCTGACATGTACAGGAAGCCAGTGAAGGAGGACAGAACCAGAGTAATGTGCTCAAACCTGTGAGTTCCTGTTAGTAGCTGAGCTGCTACATTTTGTACGAGATGGAGACGTGAAAGTGAAGCCTGACTAATCCCAACATAAAGTTAGTCCAGCCAGGTTCTAATAAAGGCATGGACTAGTTTTTCAAGGTTGGATCTGGACAGAACGGACTTAAGCTTTGCTATCTGCCTTAGTTGAAAGAAGCTTTTTTGTAGAACAGAGTTGATCAGTTTATTAAACTTAAAATCCGAGTCTAACACCACCCCGAGATTGGTAACCGACTGCTTTAGATGAGGCTGAAGGGAGTGCAGGTTTGCAGGATCAGTGACAGTGGTAGAGCTTGGGTTAAACACAATGACCTCAGTCTTCTGATCTAAGTTCGCAGCCATCCAAGTCTTGATTTCATCAAGACATTTTAGCAAAGGGTGGATGGAGCAGGAACTGTTGGGTTTTAAAGGCAGATAAATCTGAGAATCATCGGCGTAACAATGAAACGAAATATCATGCTTCCTCAGGATGGACCCCAAGGGGAGCAGATACAATGAGAACAGAAGGGGTCCAAGAATGGAGCCTTGCGGGACCCCACAGGAAAGAGGGACAGAAGCAGATAAATGATTGTCAAAGTTAACACAAAAACTACTGTCACTCACATACGAACAGAACCATTCTAGTGCCACCCCTGTAATCCCAACCCAGTGTTCTAGCCGTGACATAAGGATGCTGTGATCAACAGTGTCAAATGCAGCAGTAAGGTCGAGGAGTACCAGGATCACAGACTGACCAGAGTCATTTGCTAGCAGAATGTCATTACAGACCCTTACTAAAGCTGTCTCGGTGCTGTGCAGTTGTTTAAATCCTGACTGAAAAATCTCAAAAATTCCATTTACATTCAAAAACTTGGTTAGTTGACTAAAAACTATTTTCTCCAAGATTTTAGAAAGAAATGGAAGTTTTGAGATTGGCCTGAAGTTTGAACAAGCTGCAGGGTCAAGTCCGGGTTTTTTAATTAATGGAGTTACCACTGCATGTTTTAAAACATCAGGAACCACAGCTGTAGCCAAACTGCTGTTAAAAATAGCAAGAACAGAGGGTCTAGTTGACGGTAGAACCTGTTTTATCAGCAGAGGTGGCTAGCAAGCCATGTACACAGGCACCGTCTTACCAGAAGTGATAGCACACCCATGTTTCTGCCTATAATATTGCTCCCCATATGTGAAGTAGGTTGACTGCAGGCACAGTTTCAGGAATTGACACAGTTGCTCTGTGAAAAGTGTGGTCCTGCAGCTCAGAATGGTGTCTGATTTTAACCTTAAACTGACCACCTCTACTGTCTTATCAACAGGAATGCACATGAAGAGTGATGTGACATAAAAAGAGACCATCATTTCATCAGTCTCCATGATGACATCCCTCACCTTGTCCACAAAGTCCATAGTGTTCTGTATGTGATGTTCTGAGCTGCCAACTAAAGGGATGAGTACAGACGCCAGATATTTGGAAACATTGTAAGTGACAGAGTTAATCATGCTAACGATTGGTCTTAAAGGTACACCTTGTTTGTGAATTTTAGGTAAACCATACAGACTAGGTCTGGCCTCCCCTGGGTATAGCATGTGGAACAGAATACAGTCAATACCCTTGTCCTGCTCCAAAAGTTTCAGGCAATCTATCAACTTCTTCTTGTAGCCACTTCCTGGATCTCTTTTCAGTGGTTCATAAGTGATTAAGTCACTAAGGAGTGTAATAACTTTCTCATGATAGTCTTTCTGGTTCAAAATCACTGTGCACCTTCCTTTGTCTGCTGGGAGAATGATGATGTTTTTGTCCTTGCTAAGAGTGGTGAGTGCATCCCTCTCCTCTCTAAAGATGTTGGAAGGTGGTGGTTTGGCATTGCTGAAGCAGGCTGAAACTTTGATTCTGAGTTGTTCTGCTTCACCCTCTTTAATTTTGTAGTTGCGGATGGCTGATACTGTGGGTGTGATCATCTCCACCTGAGGAATTCTACTTGGTGCAACGGCAAAGTTCAGTCCCCTGGCAAGAATCTCTGTCTCCGGCTGGGTGAGCTGTCTGTCAGATATCTAAAAAAAGTTCAATCTGGTCCTCTGGACATTCAAAAAAACAAAAAAAAGCAAAACAACAAAAAAATACATGTAGAAATGTTTTGTCTTTTATATGAAAGACTTCCTCAGTCTGAGGTGCTGTATTCAGCTCAGTCTCTTAAATAGCACCTTCTCAGAGTGGATCAACCAGTTTTGCTGCTGACAACCAAAACCAGCTACTCACATGATTAAGAAGAACCATCAGCCTAACAATGGATATTTAGCACACTGAAAGCTGTTTGCTATTCACAGGAAGCTGAGTGATACTAGCAATCACAGCATTGTAAGAGGGCGACAGTTGAACACGGAGGCTCCACCCATGTTTAATGATGGACGGTTTCTTTTCACAAAGATGGCCTCCTTTACTCCTCTCTCAAACCATCGTTCTTCTCTGTCCAGGAAGTGAAAAACTTCATCCCTGAAAGAGTGACCGCTGGCCTGGAGATGAGTGTAGACCGCAGAGTCCTGGCCTGATGATGTTGATCTTCTGTGCTGGGCCATCCTTTTGGCCAGTGGCTGTTTTGTTTCCCCGATGTAAGACTGATCACAGTCCTCCCGACACTGAACAGTATACACAACATTACTCTGTTTGTGCCGGGGGACTGGATCTTTGGGATGAACCAGTCTTTGCCGTAATGTATTTTGGGGTTTAAAAGCCACTGGGACATTGTGTTTAGAAAATAAACGTCTCAGTTTCTCTGATACTCCCTCAACATATGGAATGACCACTGGTCTGGGTCTGGGTTCCTCATTTTCACCTGATGGCTGACTGGAGTCCTGTTTGGGAATCTTCTCAGCTTTCAGGAAGGCCCAGTTGGGATAACCACATTGCTCTAGAGCCTGTTTTGTGTGGGATTTCTCCTTCTGCCTGGCTCCTGAGTTAGTGGGGACGCTGTCTGCTCTGTGTATCCTGATGCATGCTCAATAATCCAGGTAGAAAAATCCAAGAAAGTTCAATCTGGTCCTCTGGACATTCAAAAAAACAAAAAACAAAACAAAGCAAAAAAAAAAAAAATGTAGAAAAGTTTCGTCTCTCATCCAAGAGACTTCCTCAGTCTGAGCTGCTGTTTTCAGCTCAGTCTCTTAAATAGCACCTTCTCAGAGTGGATCAACCAGTTTGCTGCTGACAACCAAAACCAGCTGATCACATGCTCAAGAAGGACCATCAGACTAACAATGGATCATTAGCACACTGATGGCTGTTTACTGTTCACAGAGGGCTGAGCGATACTAGCAATCACAGCATTGTAAGAGGGGGACAGTTGAACCCGGAGGCCTCCACCCCTGTTTAATGATGGACGATTTCTTTTCACAAAGATGGCCTCCTTTACTCCTCTCTCAAACCATCGTTCCTCTCTGTCCAGGATGTGAACATCTTCATCCCTGAAAGAGTGACTGCTAGCCTTCATGATTACGTGCGGCTGGAGTCTTGGAACGGCCTCTGGAGTCACCAGCTGAGCTGGAGCTGGGAGGATGAGCCTGCCCGTCCTGTCTCTGGAGGAGAGG